CCCCAAAACCCCAAAACCCCAAAACCCCAAAACCCCACCCTAATTAGGATATTGAAATATTCATCAAAAATACACGACTAATCAGAGTTGAAATATCTGTCTCCATAGTCTCCAAGGCCAGGCTCAATATATCTTTCCTCGTTCATATTTGGATCAACGACTGCTGTGATAATTTTGATATCAGGAAATGCACTAGTCAGTCACGATAATCCCTCAGGACAAGAAATTAGATTGATAAAAGTGATATTTTCCTCTTTTACTCCTTCCTCTTTCAATCTATTGATCACAAGGCTGCAGCTTCCTCCTGTAGCAAGCATTGGATCTAGGATAAATACTTTCTTTTTCGCTATTTCTTTTGGCAACTTTGAATAATAAAAGACAGAGCGCTTGTCTTCAGTGCTCTCATCTCTTTGAACGAGTACTTTACCCACCTTAATGCCTGGCATCAGCTCAAACATTTTGGGAAGCATGCTATCTCCTGCTCTGATAATAGTAACAGCACAGAAGTCGTTTGGGGTTTTAGTGAGTCTATAGCACTCAAAATCTCCTCCTGCTAGTGTTTTCTTTATTGTCACGTTCATTGGCTCAGCAGCAATAGCTTCTTCAATCAAGAGATGCATTATTCTATCAGAAAACCTTCTATAATCAGATGTTGATCACTCTGGATCCCGAATTTGGCTTAACAAGAACGGCACAAGTGAATGCTCCAGAATAGTAACATTTGGATTCTCAAATTCAATTTTGGTACCTTGTCATTCGACCTTCTTGCTAAAACCCATAAACTCTCCTCTCATCGTCAAATACCCCATAGCTCCTGTAAAGACTAAAGCAGTTGTTAGAGATTTCCTAGCCCTGGCTCTTTCAGGCTTAAGTGCCCTTACCCCCAGTCTACAAGTGAATAACTTTTGTGAAACCCTTCTTCAACTGGGAAGTAACCACATTTTTAAGTTTAACATGTTAAGTTAAGTTTTTCAGATTTTGGATTTTTAGTGGGGTTTTGGGGTTTTGGGGTTTTGGGG